AAGACTGAACGAGCTGCTGCCACCCACGATGTAAAATAAACAGTTCAGATAGTCATTGATTTTGCAAGATGTAGAGCACACCAGCAAGACCAAGAGATCACCTATAGAATTTGCTAGCTCTGTGCTTAACAGTTGGTCACCAAGCAGGCTGCCTGTGTCCATAAATAGGCCTAAGTCAGTCATCCAAATAGTCCAAGAAACTTCAGCAGTTTCCTCAACCAAGTTTTAGCTTCCAGTACTTGCCCATATTCAGCCTGTCATCAGCCTGAACCCACTTCACTTAAAGCCATGCATTTGCACAAGTGCTTAGTAACTTGAACTTGTTCAAAATAAATTGTCTTAACTTGAAGCTTTTTTTTTCTGGGCTAGTAGTTGTGAAAATCTATCTTTTAGCTTAGAAAGTGATCCTTTCAGTGATACTGAGGGAGAATAATCGTGACCACAGTGCTTTGTTGAGCATCGCTTTTCTGATTAAAAACACACTTCAAGAGGGAATAATATGAGGAAAAAAAACACCAGGAGAGATAAGTACTCAAGGTTAAATTTTCCTAGAAAGTATTTTAATGCCTGGTTACAGACAATAAACTGCACAGAATAAATAGAAACATTTACAAAGATGCATCTAGTCCAACTGAAAATGATAGATTTATATTATCTGAATTCATCTGAACATAATGATTCTCAGTTGCATATGGAAAGGATTATGACTTTTAGAATATATGAGGAGAGGTTTGCAAGTGTACAAGGCAACATGGAAAGACAGCTCCCTTTCTCTTGCTGTTTTCTATGTTCTCTTGTTTTGTTTCTCTTCTAAGAGTTGTCTGTATAGTTGTGTCTGAGAATGTCTCATAAGAACTGTATAAATACATGTTTTCAAGGAAGCAAAATGAAAACCAGGTGAAAACCTCCTGAAATACTACAAAATCCAGAAATTCCTGTATGTTAAACCAGAAGGGTTTTTTCTACCAACCCCCTCAAATTCCATATTGCTGCTTGGTTTTCCTTCTGTAGCTTCTGGTCCTCCTAAGAATGAGAAGCCTATCGTTTATCTGTTTGGCATGCAGAAATGCATTCTTCTCCTTTCAATTATTTTTAATGCATGTGAGGAAAAAGAAAACCCAGAAGTTGGTGAACATTTATTCACCCTGCTGTGGCAGCTTTTTGTTATTTAAGACATAAATCAAATTTGTAACTTCTTTTTTCCTGGGGGACAAATTGTATATCTGAATTTGAATGTGCTTGTGAATCAGTCACAGGGATAGTATGTGTGCTATAGCTGTGTAAGAGCAATTATTTGCAATGTTTTACATTGTTTGGCTCTATAGCATTCGTATAGTTGGACTGCATACAACTGCACAGTACCTCTGCAGATCCTGCAGGATTAGAGCCATGGACCTTAGTCCTCCAAACAGCTATCGCTCCAAACAACTATGGGCATGTTTATGTCTCATCAGAACATCAGAAGAACTCTTCCAGCATGTGAAGTTAAATGGTGCATGACTGGTTTGTGGGGTCTGGGCCCAAGATTATTCTCAAGGCAAGGCCCATTGAAGGATCAGAGCTACACATCTTGTTCAGAAAAAAATACTTAGAAGGAGATAACTAAATATCATCCTATTTGGCTCTGTGGCTCTTTGTTAATGTTTTTAACATTTGTGACATTTTCATATGGGTATAGGTAGATTTCAGCTTTGTGCCCTTTGAAATGGGCAATGCATGCTTGTGTCTAGAAATCTCATCCTGTGTTATCAGTTTTGGGATTGAAAAAAGAGGTATATTTCTTTATTAGTATCTGCCAAAGATATTTAAGAACACACAAATGCAAGTGTTTTCCCAACAGAGTACACACCTGCTTTGCAAAGACAATCTAGACTTACTTTTTATACTTCTAAGCCTGACAGTGTAAAATACTTTCATTCACATGCAGTGAGCATTGACTTTTATCACATAATTAGCATTCTAAACTCAGTTTCAGAACTTTATAACTCAACAGTAAGTTTAGACTCAGTAAATTCAGGCCAGGAGCACTATTTTTCAGTACAAATGACATCTTTAGTTTCTACATTATCAAGCCAAGCAGACCTTGTTTATTTCAGGTTTTTTTAAAGGTCTTAGATTACAAAGTAAAAAAAAAAAAATCTAAAATGAATTGCTAGAGTTTCATTCTGATGTTCCTCAGATTGTGAGCTTCCTTTGACACAACTGGGGAAAAAAAATTGAAAAGGCTGAGTGATAGGCATTTAAAACCAACTCCTGAGAGCTCATAATGGACCATATTCCATATATTCCTGTGCAAATCTCACTGACATCGATGGATGTGTTCTGTACACATCCTATTTCTAAAATCCTGCATGCATAATCACCGTTAGCATTGTTACAATATCTACCCTGGGTGGGTACAACTCTGAATGCAGATTTGTACTTTCAACCATAATGGTTCTCTTCTGAGAGAAATTCAAAATGCTGTTCATAAGCTGTTCTGGACATACACTCAGGTACTTTTTGTAAAAGAAAATCAAACACTTCAGAATACATATTTATAGGACAGACACCGTTCCAGTCTGTTGGATAAATTATATGCATTTTATAACATTCACGTACAGAGATGTATAGGTTTGTACATAACAGGTATAGGTTTGTTATAACAGCAACATAATGTTAAACATGATATAAAGTGACATGAGCCCAGAAAATGTCAATGCCAGGTACACTGTATGGTATGTCAGATGTTTCCCTTCTTTCATAAAACTGTGTATGCAGGAGAAATTTTAATTTTAATTGCTTTGGAATGGCACATATGTATTACAGCTTGATCTTTTTTTGAGCATGAGATATTGTGTGTTTAATTAACATTACTTCTGTGTGTTTAGATAATTACCATTAGAACACAGGAGGACATATTGTACTTATTGCCTGTGCTAGAGCATAATGTGCTGGACTACAACTGCACTTGTTAAGCTGATTTTAGCATTTCTACACACAGCAGGAAGCACCCACGCTGTGGTTTCTTAATGTACTCTTTAACTACTGCACTGTACTGTACAATAAAAATAATAATTAATTATGATCCTCATCTTACCAGTACTGCTGCTATCCTGGTGACTCTGGTTGCTGTTTCAGGGCATACCCTGAAACACATATCTTTCCTTTCAGAGTTTTATTTCTTAGATGATATTGCTGAACAGAGCTGAATTTTTCGAGGACAGGTTTGTGGCATGGATTGTGATGGCTTCACATTTGTTCAGGTCTCCAAGGACCCGCACCAATAAATGTGAAAGAGACAACAGCAGAATGGCATACTTTCCCATTTCCGCTAGGATGAAAAAAAATACTCTAAATTAAGTCTAACCTTAAATGTATAATCTGTCCTTGGGAGCAAGAGAAAAAAAAAAGGATATAGCATCTTCAAGCTCTTGGCATCCCTTACGAGAAAAAATTGGTTCTAAGGGTCTCTGATCTTGTGTTTTAGTAAAATAGAACTGCACGGCTGACTGACAGTTCTGATCTAAAGCATTTACGTTTAAGTTTTGATCTCTCTGCTTTTGATTAAAACTAATGAGCTCATTTAATTCAAAATGGGAATCTCTGATAAGAGAAATAAGGTTGATGTGATTGGATTAGAGGGGCAAATTAAACTCTTAGAGCAGAAGTTTGTGCTTATATAGTGTATTAAAAAGCTGTTGGCGTATTATGGTGTGTTAGATGATGAGAAAAATTTCATAGTAATTCATATTTAATCAGAAGAAATGAAAGTACTAAATATAACATGGCTCTGCTTTTCCCTCGAGTGATAAAGAGCTGTACATTTAAAATGACATCGAATTCATGCTCTCTAAAACAAAAAAATCTTAAGAGGGACACTAAAGAATGGGGCAGTGTTGTCAGTTGTCACAATAGAGCTGAAATGCCACAAACACAAGGCTTGACCACATTAAATCAAGGACAATTTAATAGAATCCTTAGTTCACAAACAAGTTTTTGTGTTTCTGTCAACCACATAACAAATACATTTTAGATACTTGAACACTTTCTACTAGTGGTTTGTATGGTTCTCCTAAACAATAGCAGAATAACTTCAAAATATTTTTTTTATTCTGTATTAATTCCTCACTGGAACTGGAAGTTCATTTACCTCCAATAATGCTTGCTTATTGTAAGCTGCTCCAGAATTTTCCCATGAACAATATTTTGAGGAGAGGGTGGTTATCTAAAAAGTAGCAATAATATAAATTGTATAAAGAGTACTCAGTGCTGACTGGGGTTGAGCACACTACTTTATTATGGTTTATACTTAGTATTTGCTGTTTTAAGTGGTTGCAGTTGAGAGAGTGAGAGGTACAGGTGAGAGCTATAGTTAGTTGAGCAGTTGGACTAAAAATATATTTCATTAATGACTAATTAATCACCAATCATTAATGGTGATGATCATGACAATAATAATAATAGTATGTGTCGTTTACTTGAGAATTTTTGCCTTCAGGCTGCTTAGTGCTTTATTGGTAATAATTAACCCTCAGTAATGGGGAAACCAAGGCACTCAAATCCAGCTGTGATTCACCCTAGGTATCATCGCAGTCAAGGAGTGGAGACTAGGGAATAAAAGCCTGCAGAATTTGCAGTCTGTTTCAGGAAACAGAATTGCTACCTCAGTGAGACTGCCTTTCACAAAATACCAAAGAACAGTTTATAAAACAATTTCATACCCTAACAAAATAACTCCAGTCATAACAAAATTGTCAACAAAGAGTTAATGAGACAAATCTCTCTTAAAAATTCTATGAGAAAAATAACTTGAAAATGAGACTTACTGAGTATACGTATATTTTTCAAATTTTTTTTGCTAAGTTAACGTTTTCTAAATGAGGCAAATTGATTACAACACTCTTAGCATCCATCAGTCATTTATTTTTAGTGACTTGAAGGATTGCACCTGAAAAATAGCTTAGAGGGGATGTATAAAATCTGAATTATTTGTATATGTATTTTTTTCTACTCCCTAGTGGAATCTACAAGCCCCAGTTTACTAACCACTGACAACACTCTAGAGCGCTCTTTTTTCATCCGAATGAAGTCTACACTGACCAAGCGAGGAGTGCACATCAAATCATCAGGATACAAGGTAAGGGTTGCGCTGTAGCATGAAATATTGACATCTTAAAATTATGTTTATTCATGTTCCAGGAACACCTTAATAGACTGAAAAAGAAGCTATTTCACATTTGCATATGTCTTATTCCTTTTGTTAAGGAGTCATTAATAAAGTATTTCCAGCCTGAGGTTTGGCTTTGGTACTACACCTCCATTAAATTGATTGTTATGATGGTAAACATTGATGATAACAGTATGATAGCCTTCAAAAGAGCAACACTTCCAAAGTAAAGATATCTTTTACCAAAAGAGGTGAATCAGAGTAACACCACTTTTCCCACTGAGGAAAAATTACTGCTCAGTTTTTTAGACTGTTAGTCACCTTTGGGTTATGTTCTTCCCAGAGAAGTAGGATTTCTTCATGCAGACAGCATGCTAGAGCTATTTTATTTCGCTGCCATTCTGGCTGAAGGAAACAACAAGCCATGAGTATTTTTCCACCATTTTTCTTTCATTGTCTGTCTGAGGGGCATCTGCTGCTGGGGATATTTGCTGGATTTCAGACTCTTTTAAGATAGGAAAGTCTCTTGTTCCTTATCAGCAGTAATCTCATTTTTCTTCAGTCATATATCGCTCATAGTGCCTGTAGCTATCAGTGGCTTTGCAGTATACTAAAACTAGAAGGAATAGCACATTTTTAACATTGTCAACTTGTGAATGAAATATGTCATCCATTAAGTTTTGTACAAGATAAAAAAGAGTGGTGCAAGAAAGTAAGTCTGAGAATGTGTGTGTATTTAAAGATCTTGCTTGTCAATGTTCATTTAAAAACTTTCACAAGCCTTTTTTTTTTCAGTATTTAGAGGAGCTTTAAAATAAAATTCCCCAACTCACTATTTCCAATAAATTCTCTGTGAGTATAGCATTGAGGTAGTCTACCTGAGCAGTAAATATCTGGTAGAAATGTCTTCTTTGCAAGAAAGTGACTGGGAGTCCTTCCATGGTGTGTTTTTTGAGTCAAGACAATTAAAGGAGTTGCTAATGGAAGTTTGAAGTCTAAACCAGTGGTTTCTTAAGGCACCACAAGTTTTGATCTGTGTCCTGCTTAATTGTCGACACCTGAAAGAATGCACTGAGTACTTGTTCATACTGACTAGTTTGCAAGTCTCAGGAGGTATCAAGACCAGGAAGTGTACTAACAGTCATAGGAGGAGGAAGGCAAATAAAAGAATTAGTAGGTCACAGAGTCATAGAATGCTTTGGATTGGAAGAGACCTTAAAGATCATCTAGTTCCAACCTACCTGGCATGGGCAGGGACACCTTTCACTAGACCAGGTTGCTCAGAGCCCCATCCAACTCAACCTGGAACACTTCCAGGGATGAGGCATCTACGACTTCTTTACGACAGTAAATAATTTCTTCCTCATATCTAAGCTAAACCTACTCTCTTTCAATTTAAATCCATTCCCCCTTGTCCTATCACTACATACACTTGTAAAAAGTCTCCCTCCAGCCTTCCTGTGGGCCCCCTTTAGGTACTGAAAGGCTGCTATAAGTTTACCCTGAAGTCTTCTCTTCTCCAGGCTGAAAAATTCCAATTGTCTTGGCCTGTCCTCATAGGAAAGGTGTTCCATCCCTCTAAACATCTTCATGACCCTCCTCTGGTCTATGCCCTTCCTGTGCTGGGTGCAGTACTCCAGGTGGGGTCTCACAAGAGTGTATAAAAGGGCAGAATCACCTCCCTCATCCTGCTGGCCACTCTTCTTTTGACGCAGCCCAGGATACAGTTATCTTTCTGGGCTGCAAGCACACATTGCCGGATCATGTCCAACCTCTCATCCACCAACACCCCAAAGTCCTTCTCCTCAGGGCTGATCTCAATCCATTCTCTGCTCAGCCTGTATTTGTAATTGGGATTGCTCTGACCCAGGGACCTTGTACTTGTCCTTGTTGAACTTCATGAGGTCTACACAGGCCCACCTCTCAACCCTGTAGGGTCTCTGCCTTCCCTCCAACGTGTGAACAGCACCACCCAGGCTAGGCCAAAGTTACATTAACAGAGAACTTCTTTGCTGGATATCTGTGATGCAATTGTAATGGCTAAACATAGAGAATTTGTGGATTTTGTAGTCTGACATCTTTTTGCCAGATGTAGGTGAGAACAAAAGACATACGAATGGCTCTGTCATTCACTCTCCTGGGCTTCTGACAATCTAATGTTAGTCCAGAATTGAAATATGATATATCTAGAATAAGCTGGCTTTGGAAGGTGGGGTTTTTACTCATGACAATACAGTTTCTGAAATTCACAGTAGATTCTTTAGTCAAAAGGCATAGTAATGTCTATCATATAAATACAATTTAATTTCTCTTAGAACTGCTAATGCCTCATGGAAACACTTAAAACCATAACTGAGATGTCACAAGTAGAGCAAACTGAGTTTTGAAAGATCAGATATTGGTTTTTAGCCAGTTTTTCCTGGACACAATAGAAATTATGATAGTTGAAAAAATTGTCTGTAAATGCAACACTGTTACACTCTCTGAATTTGGTATAACCAATATCTGTTGCTTCTCCATCTCCCATGACACTGGCAATCAAACTTCTTGGTGACTCATCGACAGAGTTAAGGGCATCTTAAAACTCCTTCAGACTGTCCCTTCCAGTGGTCATACTGAAAAAAATCAATAAATTGATAGATATAAATGGTTTAGCAAGTGTAGTTCAGAAATTTTGATTTTTGTTGCACTTCTAATGTCTGTGTTTTGGTAATGGAGGATGTACGTTTTTTTAGCTGTACCTCATGCATTAGTTGTTGTATAACAAGATATATGAAAGAATATTTAGAACTCTGGGAAAGTATTTTCACAAAGTAGTTATTGTAGTCCACATGAATCCATCTTTTTGCTTTGTGCAATGGTATCTTTCTACCAACTTGTTTAAAATTAAACATTCTCTGAGACTGTACTCTCAGACTTTGTATTTAAAATTATATAGTTAGGCTCCTTTGAATGTAACTTGGAAGACAGAAATCTAAATTTTTTTGATGAAATTTTATGCCCATCACAATTCTATTATGAGTCTTTTTCATGCTATTCCTGCCTTTATTCACAACTTAAACTAAAATGGAATTATTTATTTTGGTTTTTTAGAAGAACTTAAAGAGTTGGGCAAGATTTGTAAATCTCTGTCTTGCACTTGAAGTAAGTGCAGTTTTTGGCAGAACTTAGATTCATTAATCTAAGAGGACAAGAGAGTCAAAAACTGTTAGAGAGACAAAATTATGCTATTGCGCTTGCCTTGTGATACTGTTCTCTTGGTTCAATCCAAAATTGAAATTATGGTTTCCCATCCAAGTGAAAGATTCACCTGGAATTCAGAAACAAGAAGTCCCTATTCCAAAATCACTTTAAGGACCCAATATATCATGGCAGAAAATCACCTTTCATTTCAGAGGAATAGGAAAGAGGATGAAAGAGAAGGCAGCTTGGGTTTTTTGCATAAAACTCTAATGATTACTACATTTCTTGGATGTAGGCTATGTTAGAGTCAGATTTAATTCCATCTTTTGCCTGAGGAAATTCACATATCCCACTTTCAAGCTTAGCCCAAATTTTTTTCTCCTAATATTTTTCCCCCTTGAAATCATTTCTGTTAAGGATTTTACTCCATCCCAGAAAGGTGTCCTGACCTTTCTCTGTAGGAAGAAAGGAAACCACAGAATTTAGTATTTCATCACATGGCTACTGCCACACCTCCTTAATTGAGTGAAGAAGGAATAAGAAACCAACATCAGGAAGCATTATGTGAAGAGTTTTCTAAATGTCAGCACATGCATTCCCCAGACTTTTCAGCACTGGGAAGACTTAAAGGTAATTTGTCAGAGAGAAAGAACTGATCGAGAATTCACCCATGTAAATCGATGACCTTTTAGTCAAAAGGAAGTCTCTTAGCTAGTAAAGATGCAGCATTACTTATAAAAGAACAAAACACTAATGGGCCAATCTGAGTCTTATGAAGTATCTACTTGTAGATATAAAGATACGGCTCAAGAAATAATGGTCTGCAACAGGATTAAGAAGACTAGAGTTCATTTAATGCCTTGCTGTAGACCTGTGAGATTCTATTAGAGTTATTTGGAAAAGCTTGATTCACACTCACCATCTAAATATATTAACCAATTTTTTAAAAGTGTTCAGTAGCTACTAACTCTACCTTCTCAAAAAAACATTTTCAGGGCTAAGCATCTTTTTAAATAGGATTTATAGCACTGCTCTACTATCTGGAGACATGAATACATGTTAGGTGTTCATTATTGCAGTAGCACTAATGAAATTAACCAGTTAGTATTATATAAAAGGCCTTTTTAATAGCAGTCTTCTTTAAAAGAAAGATTCAAGCTTTGATCATTTCTTGTGATGACTACAGCTGTAATATTCGTATGGCCTCAGAGATGTGATTTTGTTGCAGTGTGTTCCAAACTGCATAAATGGGAAATCAAAAACTGGATTCTGGAAGAAAAGAAAACATAAAATAGAGTATATACAGATTGCTTTCTGAGACAAGTTTTATTTTCATAAATTCTGTTACCAATGTATAAGGGATATAAAAAGATAATATCACCAAATTAGCAGCAATAGCCTTTGGTTCTGGTTTTCAGTCAGTATAATTCTGAAGCCTCCTTTCTTAAAAGTCATTGAAAATAACAATGAAAGAAAACTGAGATGAAGATTTACTCTGATACATAATAAAATATTCAAAATGGGCAGAGATCAGTTCCAAACCAAATCGGGTTTTCTTTCAAGAATTAAGTGTTATTGAGTCATAGAGAAAATGTTTGTTGCACTTTCATAAGTAATACTAATTATCTGGACATGTGAACTAATAGTGCAGTTTAACACCCAATGCAATGTTAATCAGTGACTAGGATGAGAGCAATGAGATCTCACCAGAGGGGGAAACAGAAAATACATTTTATTGCATCTTATTGCATCTTACTCTCCACTGGGAGAAGGGTGTCGTGCTCCCA